CACCTGCACCGTCTAGGTAAGACGTACAAACTGAGCAAGTTGACAATGGACAACGAGTGGCGTATCGCTGATTTCTCGCCACCATACCGCATCCTTATTCAATCGAGTGCTTACAAGTGATGAAAAGTGGGTTCTGTATGAAACTCCCAAGCGTTCCAGACATTGTCTGTCTCCTCAGAATGCTGTCCCTCACACCGCAAGACTGCCTATGCACCCACGCAAGATTATGCTTTATGTCTGGTGGACAGGTCGTCAAGCGGTTCATTATGAACTGCTACCAACGGGCCAAATGGTCACTGGAGACCTATATTCGCAGCAATTGAAACGTGTGCAACAGGCATTGCGCCAGAAGGAGCGAGCACTGGTGAATGGCAAAGGTGTACTTTTCCTCCATGACAACCCCAGGCCGCATGTCGCGCGAGTGGTCAGGGATAACATACAGTAACTTGGGTGGGAGACTTTGTACCATCCAACTTATTCAGCAGACCTTGCACCATCCGATTACCGACTCTTCCACTCCCTGGATAATCAGCTTCATGGGAAAACTTTCACTAATGAAGCAGACTTGCGCAAAGCCCTCACGGACTTCTTTGCGTCAAAACCGCCCGAGTTCTACCGCAAGGACATTGAACAGCTGGAGACACGTTGACGGAAGGTGCTGGATGCCGATGGCGATTACTTCGAAGACTAAATATAACTTAAACTTACTGTGAAGCGTTTTCTATTTTTCCTTTAAAAACGGACATAACTTTTTTGGTTACCTTATATATATATATATATATATATATATACATTTATGATAGCATATATATATATATATATATATATATATATATATATATATATATATATATACATTTATGACAGCATATATATATATATATATACATTTATGACAGCATATATATATATACACATTTATGACAGCATATATATATATATATATATATATATATATATTTATGACAGCATATATATATACATTTATGACAGCTTTATATATATATATATATATATATATTTATGACAGCATATATATATACATATACATTTATGATATATATATATATATATATATATAAAACATTTATGACAGCATATATATATATATATATATGTGTGTGTGTGTGTGTGTGTGCATGCATATATATGTATATATTATTTGAAATTGATTATATCATATATATATATATATATATATATATATATATATATATATATATATATATATATGAGGTGCTTTTTATCATTTTTGTGTAACATACATTAATTTCAAAGAATTACAAATATCTAATCTCCTTCAATGTAAGACACTCCTACATCATTGCACATGTAGTGCTCTAACCAATTCCTGAAGACTCCATGGAAGTCATCCAAATTGATGGCGTACAGAATCATTGTCTCAGCCTCTTGCATTTTTTTTATTGTCTTCTATATGACTGCTCCTGAGATTCTCGTTTAAGCGGGATTCCATATCTGTTTAGCGATGCAATATATGTAAAGATAACTATAATTCAATTCCACTCTTTCAAAGTTATATTTGTAACGCCATATATAATGATAATTTATCTACAGAATTAGCATTTCCTTTACTGCAAAAAATATCCCAAATCTCATTTTAAACGTTATTTCAAATCGGGTTTTCATTTAAGGAAAATTATATCGATCCTTTTTAGTTCAATTCAAAGTTAATTTCAAATGATATAATCTTATTATTTACGTTATTCGGACTGTTATCCTCATATTCATTACTATATTCACAATTTTTCGTCCGTTGTACGTCCGTCCTTCTTCGCTGATTAGAATTTCGAGACGAAACGTTTATTTCGTCCATCTGGGTAGATTGTTCTAGTTCCACGTGTCATGCCTTTTCCTGTCTTTTGCCATGTCTCAGTTATTTCCTTTTAACTCTCAAAGTTTGGTTCAAAACTGCTGTGGTCTGGTATGGCACTCACAACTCTTTGGGTCTAGTCACTGGATCTAACCAAAGTATTTATCCGCTGTGCCATGTGTCCATGAAACTTTGTGAATATGGCATTGACGATGAGGATAGAAGTCCGAATAATGTAAAAAAAAATCTAGGTAGTTATAATACATCATCTCAGAGATATAGACATAGATAGAATCTTATGAGATAACTTCAAAGGACCCTTATGAATTTTAGCTTATTGATTTCTAACTTATAACTTATATATCTCAATAGGATTAGATATAGATAAACCTTATAAATTTCAATAGGAGTGAATAAGTTTGCTTCTCACTCGGTTCTAGTACCTTCGCGCTCATTTCAAAAGGAGTAGAGGTTTATCACTTGTTTTCTCTTTAGGATTGAGCTTCTGTTTCCTTCTAATGTTTACTTCAACTTTATACTTCTCACATCTCCTTCTGAACTCTGACATATTATAATTAGTATTTTTTTTTATTTTTCCTCTTCTCCTAATAGCAGTAGATAGATACGCCAATCATCCTTTTCACACTCCTGTTCGGTCTTTTTTAATAGGATTTGATCTTTAATCCTTGTTTCCTGTCTAGGAGTGATTTTCCTGTTCCTTCTAAAGTCTACTTCAACTTCACACTTCTCATATCTTCACTTTAACATTGATTTGTAATACTTTATTTCTCTATCAATAGGAGTAGTCAGATTCGCCTATCTTCAAGTTCACATACTCCGGTGTTTTTTTTACAAGAGTAGATGTTTTCTTGTTGAGTACTGGGTTTACAGTTCCTTCTAAAGTTTACTTCGACAGTAAATTTCTATCTCCGACTGAACTTTGATTAAATTTTGACTTCTTCAAGCCTAAAGTTAGCCATTATCTTTCCTGCATAGCGCCAAGAACTTCACACCTTTTTTCTTATGCTGATACATCACACAGTAATCCTCTCTACCTTGAGTGACTCTTGGACATTTTATTGGCTGAATATTATTAAAAAATATAAATGTTACTGCATATTGGGCGAACTATACTGTGGCGCCGCATTGATACGCTCGATAGAAGACCCGAATAGAAAATCATCCGTGAAAAAAAGTTAAAATTCTGAAGAATTTAACTAAATTGTATTAATTACCTGTATATTCTAAAATATGACTCCAACATTCTTAAACTACGATGATCTTTTCCCTGCTTCACCGACCGGACGTAACAAATTTTATTAGAGAAATATGTTGTTGCGCGGTAAATTAGTCGGCAAAAGTTAACAAAAGTCACATTAGTTTTGACTAATCTACATTGTAAAATAGACGGTGATTTCTACTAGTGACAGATAGTTGGAACTTATTTAACAACATGGATTGTGTATACTGATTCGCAAAACAGCGTAATTAACCCTGTTGCAATCTATTCTATTATCAGGCTAATTCCTTAAGCCTGGTTTAGATTGACACAAAGTATCACATTGCTTATAGAATCCGTTCTCCCAAGGGCACACTCTATGGTTTGACCTTGTTTATTTACGGTGATGTGTCGATAAAATACTTTCTGTCTAAATTCAGTAAATATTAAAAAGGAAGACGGAACAAAGACAAAAATAATCAAAATTTCTGTCCTGTCAGGAAAAATAACATATTTGCATATTTTCTCCCTGCAAGTAATCGTATTACGAGACGAGTTAAGATCAATTAATATAATTATTTTCAATGGCTTCAAGCTATTCCCCTCAGCGTAATACAATCTTCCTTTCTTTTTCCATAGACGTCTAACCTTATCTTGAATTCAGCAAAGCATAGTAAATATCAATACTCATAAAAACGTATGTTTATCTAGTCGAGGAAATTTTAAGCTTATACCAATAATGTGGCGATTGTAACAGAAGTGATATCGCTAAAATTTGCTTCCTGTTCTCCAAGACGACCGCAGTATTCAATGTTTAATACCCAGTGAAGGCCTGAAATGCAGATGCTGATATTTAATTTAGTTATACATTAATAATCATCTTTGAAGACTGGAGAAATATATAATATCAATATTGACTCAGCGTAAGGTCATTTAATGGTCAGGGTCTGCTTGATATCTTAATATCTATTGTCACCATTGACCAGAATTTAAGTCCAGGTTAAGGCCGAGAGAACTATTCCTGTTGCTCCTGGTCATTGATGAAGCAATACCATTCTCTTTATATCTCTGTATCCAGCTGGCAGTCAGAGTTAAATTTAATATACTTGCTTGAATACGATTTATTTCAAATATTTAATATATGGATTAATTTAATTTTCAGCCTCTGTATCATGGACTCTGTATATTCTTTTATCTTATAGACTTATGGTTTTTCCCTTATAGTATTTTGTAAAATACATCTATTGGATGCTTTAGTATACATCATCAGTGATGTTTCTAGCCGAGGTTCTTTAAGGGTTTCGCGTTTTTTTCAACATCATATGATCGAGTATCGTCTTGTGTACATTACGTCAGCTACAAATTTTCCATCTTCCGAAATGCACACCATACGAAACTTTTTGGCAGTCGCGGATGACTTCTTGTTCACCAGCAGAATTGATTTTTCCGTAAAAAAATGAAGGAAACACAGCCACAATTTCCATCTGATCAGGAATATGACGGCCTGCTTGGTTTAAAGTGCTAAGTACAGATTCCCCTCCCCACGAGACATATACACGAACACACAGAGAAACGCACTTGAAAGATAATGGGTGCCGAGGAATACAAGATCTCTGAATGGAATTTAATGTAAATCAAGAAGCATTCTCCCAGAAGGAATAGATATGACTGATTAATCAATTTATTCGGTGTTGGTAGCTTATCAACCCATTGTATGTTACTTAAAACCAGGGAACATTTTCATATTGTAAGATTTATTTTTGGAGACACTAATGATTTTGTAATGCAAGTTTTAGTAATTAATACATAGCTCTGGGTATAAGATGGGCACTCATACATTTCTCAAGGATATTTCCGCATGTTAATATTAAGACACAAACGAAAATTGGAACGCGGATTTCCGATTAAAATTCCGAGCCATTATTGATTTCATCAGGCGCACATTCGAGTTTACAGTACGAGGTATTCACAAGCGGTCACCCATCTTGGTACTGACCAGGCTCGATGTTGCTTAACTTCGTTGATCTTACGGGAACCAGTCTTTCAACATGATATGGCTGTAAGCCAGGAACTGATATGTTGTGTCCGAGTATATGATCGGATCACAATAATAGACAGCAAAAAAAAAGTGTCGCATTCGCTGGGTCACCAGAACATAATGGTTAACTCATAGAAAATATAGAATCGGACCCCAGTTGAGGACAGTGGCCCCACAGATATTCACACAGGCATTCAGCCTAGAAGCATTTGTTATACACGCATATAGGACAACCAGTTGATAGGGTGGTGGAAAAAAGTGGAAAACTAGAGTCACCCAAATCCTCGTGGAAGGTATTGACGTTCGTTCCTGAAGCGATATACCATTATGGACATCATGCTTCTGACAGAATCCTGACATGAATAAATATTACTTTTGCATAATAAGGATTAAGTCCCGTGTTCTTGTCAGACGTAAAGAAATATAGTTAGACACGTACATATCTTCACTCAGAGATGTTGTCAACATGTATAATGAACAATATGTAACACTGAATATTTAGATGAAATAATTATAATTAATACACCTAATGACCCCTTTTATGAAATTCAAAAATATAATTAAAGGAATATTACTAGAGAATGTTTATGTGCTTTATATATTTACACACGCACACACACACACACACACACACACACACACACACACACATATATATATATATATATATATATATATATATATATATATATATATATTCCATTTTATTACATATGCCTGTGGCTCTATGTGCATGTTTGTGCCTCTGTGTGTTGAACATGTAGATACACTGGTACAATCGCAGCTTACCTAAACCTATATCTTATAATGAATTCTTCTGAGAAATCAGAAAGCAAGGAAAGATAAGAGATCGATACGGGTTCTTCAGAAACGCATTACGATGAGCAACTGAAATTACAGAGTAGCCATTGTTTTTAATAGATTCCAATATAGAGATTTCGAAACACATCATATGAATATATTAATATGGATTGTGCTAACATTCATTTAGTTTTACATCTAAAAAGAATGTTTTACAAACAATACGATCAGGAATAATAAGTAAATCCAGTAGAAGTAATTTAGTAAAGATATAGGAATTTGGAGTATATGCATCCATTTTTGACGGATTCTCATTTTTTTTCAATAACAAATAGTTATAATCTCTTGGCCTGGATAGGGGAATTCGTTTCCATTCGAGATTCCCAACGTACATTGGGAGATTGAAAAGTATGATAGTTTGTAAATTTAACATCGAGATAATCGAAAGGAAAAGAAGTATTACATACAAAAAAAATGGCTGTTCCATTATGCCTGTAGTTATTTCATTGGATCAGATAATAAAATCGAATATCATTACCAACTCTAATCAGCATTCTTTATTATATTTACAAAATCTGATTTTAGGGTCGATCGGTGAGTAGAAAATATAGATTAAATCAGAGAGAATGAATGATTAAGGAACAAGATAGAAATCTTCATACATTTGTCGTGTTTCGCTATATCTTGGCTTCATCATAAAATTTCGGCGTGGAATGATACGCACTTATACCGCGTGCGGCAGAAATACCGCACAGATTTTGCAAGTTGACAATAAGAACAAAGTAACTGTTATTAAAATAAAATCACTGTTCTTTAAACAAATAGGTAAATGTTTTATGCCATTCTTTTCAATAATCCCATTGCGGCCTCTGTCAACATACATTTTGTAATATTCCATAAGCCTGTATTTCTTCCGCTTCCTTGTCTTGCAGGTAGTTTTCTTTGAAGCGCTGAATATGTGACACTGATTATTTCAAACGACAGCAGTATCAATTTTTTTTATTCAGAACAGCATCATTTCGACGCTGAAATGAGTAATTACAAATTAACCTAAAATGTTTGAAGGGCAAACGTACGGTGTACACCGGGACCAAAGATTATGGTAACATAATTTTATCGGATAAAAGATGGTAAGACATTATCTAAATGATAACACCTTTGCAAAATTGCCAGAGTTCATTGGCACTACTCATGTGAAATTTTAAGGTGTGAGAGGTATTTCTGGCACACCCTATATGATTGTATCAATGCTTGGCCGACTCAGACATAGAATTAAAAATATGCCATAAACAGAACACGAATGACAATGTAAACGTGACGTCGACGCACCCGATATAAACAAAATAGTAGAAATTAAAAACTGAAATAAAAACTGAATCATTTCCACTCCAATATTCTTTGATATCAATGGTAATAATGAGATGAACCATCCCTTTATAAAGAAACATTCAGTATTTATTTGTCGGAGATATAGCATAACTGTCGCTTGAAATGTATAAAATATTTCTCTTAAAAAGGTTCTTTTTCAGGGATATAGGTTTCTCATATTATAATCGCACTTTCTGGAAATAAATGGAATTTTCTTGGTAAACTTTTCTTTGGGATACTCTGAGAATTCTTGATTATGTCATTATTTTATGCTTAAGATACATGGGCTATTCATTTTAGTTGATGCTACACTTTCTGTAATCTGGTTTCTTTTATTTAGTACTGTTATTTATTTAAGACCGGCGCATTAATTACTGGGAATTTTTGCCGTTTAGTTGGAACAGTTTAAATATAAAATCAGCCCCCAAAAGATTACAGATTTTCGATTTTTCACCTTCAAGATTGTAATTTTTCCAGCCAGTTTGGGCTCAAAACAGGCACTGAAGAATTATCTCTCAAACACAAAAATTACATTGGATGAAAAATGTAGAAACGCATAAACAGCACCGATCACAAACACATACACTCACGCATGTTGAGAATTATAGATATAGATAATATTATATTTAATAATATAAACTATATATTTTTAAAGGTTTTATGAAGATATATATATATATATATATATATATATATATATATATATATATATATACACACACACACACACACACATATATATATATATATATATATATATATATATATATATATATATACAAGGACAGACAGTAAACAGCAAAACGTTTCTGAGAGTTGTAATGGATAGAACATAGTGCAGAGCCTTTGTCACCAACTATTTGGACTCAAATTCCGCCCTGAAGAATTGTCTATCAAACAAAAAAGAATTCTTCATCGAAATCGGATGAAAACTCTGAAACTCATAAACAACATCTGATCACACATACACATACATACATACAAACACATTTTGAGAATTATAGATATAGATTCTGTAGTGCCCATCTATGTGATCCTATTAGGGCTTGTACCCTTGAAAGTTCTTCACTACAGGTTCATTCACTTTAGTCCAATTAAATTATTAATTTGAAAAACCGTTGTCTATATCAGATATTTAAGGTATTTCCGAACAATCTTGACTATACGCATGTTATGAAGTTAAATAGATCTATGTAACATATATACAGCTGGTTAATTGTTCTCTCTATTTGAGTCTATTTGTTGGGTTGCTTGATTTTTTACCATGATGCGTATTCTCTATCGATATCCTTACTTAGCGTAATCAGCTCAAGTTTACCAAACTGATATCTTATCAAATATAACCAGTATGTCGAATCAAATGTTTGCATTACGGTAGACTCTGTATTATCTATCAAGAAATCTCATGGGTTATTAGTAGCGGGCTACTGGAAGCAAATATAATGTAATTAGCGAAACTAAAAAGACATAACGATGTATTTTGTGGAGAACAATTGGGATGGGTATATGGGCTAGGCAGTATCAATGAAGACTTATTTTTTTTGACTAGAACTACAGCAATTTAAATGAAAAAGTGTTAAATATTTTTTATGGTTTAGAAGTATATCTGAATAGGCTGTTTTGTAAATGTCATTATAAATTCGAAGTATTAAAGATATGTATATTGTTTACATCATTCGGACTGTTGTCCTCATCAGTAGTATCATATTCCCGACGTTTCGACCGTTGCACGCTCTGACTTTCTTCAGGGGATATGTAACACGGTATCCTCACTTCAAAAGATGGCCCGTTGGTTCGGCATGGTATAGTATTACAGATGAGACAAGTCTCCGGTGACAAATATAAATCGAAGCCACCCTCCAGTCACGTCGTGATTGATTTGATCCTGGAGAGTGATCATCAGATAGTAGAAATCCGGAAGCTCTTCATTGGTAAACCTGCGACTTTGTCGAGTGAGAAGTGAGTTAACAGAAAAGTAACTATAACACAGTTGATTCGATTCGAAAGGACAAAATGTGTGCGTATATATATATATATATATATATATATATATATATATATATATATATATATATATGAGAAAGCACACACAAAAAGTAATTCTCGTTGCACAAGGTTGAATGCTTCTTGTATGTGAACAATAAACAAACAAAAACACGAATACTTCGAATAATTACATAAGGAGAGATTCGGCCTTCGTTTTATCCCTTTTTGTTCTGTTCTTACCGCAGCTACTACAAAATTTGATGTTAGCATTCTCAGCAGTAGTAGTAGGAGAAGGAGGAGGAGTAGCAGTATTTAGATGTTAGCGGTGGTATTTCGCTTCTTTTCCCTCAGCTTCAGAAACATTGCAGACGCTTCCTACTCAGTTCGACCACATTAGAAGACGGAGGAACGCCAAAACTCACTATCATCCGATTATCTCGCCTCTTTATTAAGAGAACCGGCCTCACGGTTCCCATAATGGTGACGTATCTGTTTCAAAGCAAAACTTCACGCCTCCGAGAATAAACAATTCATTTTTTCATTGATTGCTTTCTAATTTCAAAAACGCCTCTATTGTTTTATCACTATTATCCTGCCTCTCTTTGTAAACTACAGTGATTTTTGTATCAAAAATAAATTCTAGATCAAAACATTCTTAATTTTAACTTCGATTATTATAGTGTCAAAATCCATTTTTTTTATAAATTCCAAGATATTATTGTTCCAGTGATTTTCTATTAATTATCTGATATCATTTGTAAACCCCAAAACAGATTGTATTCCGTGTTCTAAATTAACTTTCTCCAACATTTACATTTGAAATTCTTTAGAGTATATTAACTTCATGCTTATTTGAAAACGCCTCTCTTT